ATTTTTTATATTTAAAATGAAATGTTTATCCAGTATTTAATTATGTTTATCTGTAGTTAGTTACACAAATTCAAGTATAAAGTTTTAATAAGTTGTACATATGCATTATTTACTTGTAATCTTGAATTTTAAGTAATATGCATCAATAAACAATACTTTATGTATAAAAATGATTTTTAAGAGTTTTTGTTAAATATTTTATAATATAGTATAGATAATGAGAAAAATATAAAATAAGACACAAATCAAAAGTTTGGATAATCATTTTCAATTCAGCCAAGTTAAAAGTTTGGATAATAGTAAATTACTTGAGATCGAGCGTTTGACTTTTTGGAGTTGGTAAGCTCGTTTGTAGATGTATAATACTCTAAGCTTATAAATAGTTGTTAGAATGTAATATTTTGGATTGTAAAACATGTTTTAGAAGTTAATCTACGTTTGGAGTTTATTAGTAGTTCTGCAATATTTGTGTATTTGAATTAAGTCCCGTTAGTGACACCGCCCGTTCCGGACCACGTGGACGGGGGATGTTACAAGTGTGATACCACATTTGTAACATCCCCCGTCCCCGTTGTCCGGAACGGGCGGTGTCACTAACGGGACTTAGATTTGAAAGAAAATTATGCGCTGCTTGTTGCACAGCATGAATAGCCTGCTGCAGATACGTAGGCATCAGACTTGACATGGTCTGACGGACCACATCAGCAATATTGGGTTCACTTTCACCCCCATTGGATTGGAGTTGGGGTTTGGGTTACCCTCAGGTTGAGATCTGGATTTGCATGGGCGACCACGTCTCGACATTCTAAAATAAAACAACATGAAAATCAGAATTCAAAACAATTATGGATCAGAAAAACGGTAGATAGAATTAAAGTTAGTATACCCGTTATTTTGTCTACCCATTTCTCACAAGTCAAGCTTACTTTATCTATAAGTCAAAACCTATGCTCTGATACCACACTTGTAACATCCCCCGTCTACGTGGTCCGGAACGGACGGTGTCACTAACATGACTTAATTCAAAGACACAAACATTGCAAAGCTACTAATAAACTCCAAACGTAGATTAACTTCTAAAACATGCTTTACAATCCAAAATATTACATTTTAACAACTATTTATAAGCTTAGAATATTTCAATAATTGTTGTGTATGAGCCGATGCAATATTGATTTCTTCTCTGCTTTCTGAACAATCAGTTTCTGAGGTTTTAGCTCTCTCTTCCATGAGCCATAATTATTTCAGATGTGGAGAAAAGTCATTTGTAACATCCCCCGTCCACGTGGTCTGGAACGGACGGTGTCACTAACGGGACTTCATTCAAAGACACAAACATTACAGAGCTACTTATAAACTCCAAATGTAGATTAACTTCTAAAACATGTTTTACAATCCAAAATATTACATTCTAACAACTATTTAATAATATTAAAATGTTTTTAATGTTTTTATTAAAGGGTGTTTGAGATTGCTTATAAGAATAACTTATTGACTTATTTCGATGTGGTACCGGTAAAAAACACTTTTGAGTGTTTGGATACACAACTTATACCGGTGCCAAACCGGTAATAAAGAGTTCTTGAAGAAATTTCAAGTCATTCTAACTTATAATAAGTTGATAAAGACTTCTGTAGAAAAACATAAGTTGTTTCAAATAAACAATCTCAGACAGATCAAAGATGGTCCTACAAATTTAACCATTAGTAATTTATAATAAAAGAACTTATTGCAGAATATTTGTACTTTTACAAGCTATGTATACCTATACATTAGCCACAGAGATACAATTTCTAGCATACATGAACTTGTGAATGCAACAATTGGCACCACTACAATTTCTCAGAACTAGAATCGCTCTGTAATTTAATTCTCCATTCCAATTGTTGATGTCAGGTACTTACCGCAAGTTTCTTAGAAGCCAACGACAAACGATCCAAAAAATCTTCAGATAAAGAAATCAACACGCGGTGACAAGCCAAAGCGGACGCTGCAATAAGCGTCACGAAACTAACCCAACATAACCGCATCATCAGTATCGGATCTTTTCTTCCAGATTCCAAGACCTTGAGCAAAATGACTTTGAGTCGTCGGTTTCTCACTAGGGACTGGTAGTCGATGGCAAGTGTTGAAGATGATCGGTAAATGGCACGATTTCTGGCGATCATGAAGGTGTTACCTAAAGCTGCACATATCGACTGGTATACAACATCTGCAATCATTCTGCAGAGTTGTTGACGGAAAGGACCGGCTTCCTTGGAAACAATGCCCCGGATCAGTGAAGCTCCATCCTGTTTAAGAAAAGATATATTTGGATCAGTCGTACACTCGTAATTTTTTTTTTGAAGTATACAAGTAAACTCGTAACATTGCAAGCAGTGGATATGAAGACTAATAACGTATGAGATTTGACACGGGAATCTTACCTCTTACTCCTTCCTCAAAATAAATGTAACATTTCCTTTTATTTAATGTTTCCGTTCAAAATAACAATTTCGATATTTGTAACATAAAATATTTTCATTAACTATGTGCTTAGCCAAACTTCGCATATCCTACAAGAGATGAAATAAGATATTTAAAACAAGAGGAGCTATATTTCGACTTCTACGGATGCAAATTAGGTTATAGTGTACCACAAAGGCCCAGCAGCACTCGGATTATTGGTATATCTCAACCTCCTTGGAGGTCAAGTGGTAAGGAGTGTGAGTGAGTTTTGTCGTATATGTTTTTATATACTTCCCAAAAAAAGAACAAGTTTGTACATGCAATATTTATAGACATCTTTTCAACAAGTTCAGAATCCAAAACAATTAGAACTTGCAAAATAACCTATTTGACATTTCAAAGTCAAAATGTGGCCCTTTCTTAAACACACGATGATATCGGTGCATAACTAATTAAATGCATACAAGGCATGCTGTTAACTTGGTCCATATAAAAAACAAAACCACCAGAACACATAGCAATCAAGATGTATCTAAAATGAAGGATGGTTATTAAGCTAAAAGGAGCAGCTGAAGGAGTAGGATACTCACAGCGGTCATCAACAGTCGTCTCACCACAACACCATCTTTCGATAGTAGAAGTTTAAGAACTAAGTTTATTGTATCCGATACCCTTGATGGTCCATTGAAGGAATATTCGGTAGAAGTCCTGCTTGTTGCTGCCAGGTGCAATCCTTTGCTGAAGGGAGAGATTATAATCAAATATGACTGTTAGTTCAAGGTGTAGAGGAACCTATACTATGCAAAAGTTAATGTTTCGGTTTAACAAAAAAGGTAACATGTTGAACATTAGAACTAACAGGGTCATGAATCTTGATAATAAACCGACATAATTTTTGGTCATTCTTATCTTCTTTAACTTGCATCATTTTTGTTAGATCCAAGCAGAGAGATGAACTTAGTTTCCCTCAAAATGCTTAATTTTGAATGCATGATGACTTGGGGCAAGATAACCAAACGGGCCCATTATATATCTCATTGAAGGTGGAGTCAGGGTATGATGTAAGCAGATTTGACCTCTACCCAACATAGTAGAGCGGTTGTTTCCATGAAGACCTTTGGCTTGTGAAAAGTGTGTGAAGGGATAAAGTTTGCCCACAAAGTTTGAGGATATAAATTAAAAGAGGAATGCTACAAGAAGAATTTGAGACAAGAAAGACATAAGATAACATTTGGAAAGCTAGTTATGAGCAAGCAACACATACACACAGAAGCAGGTACATGAAAAACACAGTCAAGGTAAAGAAACTACACACCCCTAGCCTAACTTAAGGGCAAGATATTGTGGAAATTTTAAAAAGAGAATTAGGATATAGGGAATCGCTTCTCAAACCCTAGAATCGAGTTGCCTCCCCAACCAAGATGTTGGGCACCACACCAAGAATTAATGTATTTTGAAAAAGAATCCCTAATTAATTCATAAATGAAAGTCTTGCCTATAGATTAGCCTATGATATCATAGCTAACAGGATAACAAGAGGAAATATATTTGAGAAAGAGGGAGCTCAAATGTCAGTACTACAATGGAGGGTGAAAACGAAAATATATTATGATATACATGATAAAGCTCAGGCATATGAACTATTATCCAGGTAAATACAAAAGAGCACTAGACAGGGTCTGTACTACTGAACCAAAAAACACCATGAGTCACATACCTTGTTGCCCCGATTCTCAAGAAAAAAGCAACCTTCTCCCATCGAAGTTCCTTTTTCTTGTTTAGCACAACCTAAAGTGGAAACCATGATATCACAAATAGCCATTGATGACAATGAAGTACAAAAATATAAATCTCTGCACAACTGGACATCATCCAGCTTCCAGTATGGTATATGAAATTGTCAAACAGAGCACATGAAGTAATGACTAGACGATCAAAACTGGAAGAGAAATCGATCAGGGTAACTACAATCTGTATTTGCTAAAATAAAGATACGAAATGATTAATGAGCTACTTAGAAGTGAGGACTAAATCTAAAAAACAATTAAACTAGAAATATGTACAGTAAAATACAAGATGAGAAAAACAACCATAGAAGGGGATGGTGTTTAAAGATATAAGCATATGTTTCAGTTTCCTGTATGGTACATGAGATGGGTAAACAGACATATGAAGTGAGGATCAAAACAAGTCAAAAACATAACAGAAATCAATCTTGGTGACTGTAACTAATCTGCTACGAGAAATAGTTATATGGACACTTGACTGAAAATGATCAATAGCTGTCTATTATTATCTTTGAAACATTAAAACTAGACAAAGTGGTCGAGATCCTCATGTTACCTGACTCTATCTAGATAAAATTGCAGTATCATAATTCATATACCATTTAAGCAAGGGTTCAGGCATTCTATTGAAGTTCTCAGAGCAAATACACAATGATATTATAAAGCTCATGAAATATCAACAGGAAAAAGTTTAAAAGCTGAATACCGAGTGCAGAATCTTCCTTGTGTCAAGTGAGTTATCAGTGAGAAGTTTACGAACAACATATGGGTATGAATCCTCAAAAGTCTTAAAATTTGGATCTCCGGCCATTGCTAACCCTACAAGTTACAAAAAAAGAAGTTGGATATAAATAAAGTCTATACATGATTGAACATTAAAGAATTAACAAGCTAAATGATAAGCATGCAAGAGAATGATAGATAAACGGTCATGCATAATAAAATATCTCATGAACATGTTGAAGATTTTTTCAAGTCCTGTAGAGCCACTCTCTTTAACATATTTCATTCGATCTCTAAAGTGCAAGCAGCTGAAGATAATAGGGTGGATTAAGCTTATCCCAACATCATCTTTTAAAAACTAAAGGAATTTAATATCTTTACTAGCAACAAAACTACAAAAGCATCACCACGCCACTCACCTTCTGGTGGTTTACAATGCTTTATTTATTTTTATATAGGTAAATGATGACTAGATGGAGACTCTTCCATAACAGGGTTTGAGAAGGATCATAATTTAGACCCCTGAGGTGCTGATAAAGTGATGTAGCCTTACTCACAACCTATTTAATTTATCCTTATGCTTGGACAAGAAATTCCTAACAATCTGGAAGTACTGTTTAAGGAAAGGAGATTGACAAATGTTATGGGGGTATCTTTTTGACACTTAACAAAGTTAGGCAGTTATATTCCTTCTAGCCTTTCTCTTCTGTTCCCACATCTCACCTGTTTCTCTCCTCATCAACTTGACCAGATCCCTCAGTGGAATCTACTGTCACCAAATCCTTGTCCTAACATTTGAAAGTGGAGATGGGTTTCATGTTTGTTTGCTGTGTGTTCCATGAAGACTGGAGTCTGGCAGATGTAATTGTTCTAGCTCAATTTTCCTTATCCCGCGACATACAAAAGTTAAGACATGTAAGCAGGGTTCGAGTCAGGGAGTCAAGCCACCGAATAGATATTATAGACAAAGTTAGGCAATACTTCTGATTATGAAATCTCCTATCTGGACCATCCACTTTCTTGTGCACCCGGAGTTCAAGCCACAGAAAGGATCCAGCATGTCAGCCATGATGAACATCCTGGATATCGGTTATTTTCTGTCATCACCAGACTTATGCTTTCAAGACATTGTGTGAGGTTTCACACATCACATCCAGAATTGGGTTGATGGTTTATGGGCACTAGGAACTTGAGGATGCTTTCTGCAACCCATCATGCTGGAGATGGTAAGTAGATGATGGGCGGAACTTGGTTCATGAAGCATCTGTAGGTGCTAATGATCTATTTGTTCGGATACATGGGCCCCCCACAGGCCGGATTCTTTTTCATGGAGTTCATAGGTATAGAAAGAAGCCCTATCAAATAGAGATTTCTTCTTTCGACCATATTTTGATTGTTAATACGATATATGAGGACGGCTGCTCCAACGATCAACATTTTGTAACCACGTCCACTAGTGATCATTTTTTTGTTAAATCTTCGGTGCTAGTGGAAATCAGCAATCACTGATGCTAAAATTCCACAAAAGATAAAAGGACCTCCGTATGACGGACACCATATAGGCATTTTTCTGTAGCTTTATCACCATTGCATAGACATGTTGTAACTGTTATCTATAAGGCATGTTGTGTACAACGTTATTATGCTAAATTTGCAAAGCTCTAGTGCCTGTTCACTCACTGATCTGGTCCAAGTTGAATCATTGAATTCTACTAGACTCCAGTTGTGCTAGGACACATAAGGGTGTTGAGATTCAATATTCCCCACTTAGGCTTTTGGTGTTTTTTGGAGGATGTTATTCTCTTTTAACGGGTTCCACCACCATACTAATGCTGTTAATGTATTCTCTTTGTGGTGCATTAGTTACCACCACTTTGTGCATTTGTTGCACCCACCCCGGGTTTTGATGATTTGACAAACCGTCCCTCGGCACTAAAGAGTTACTTTAATGTTGTGAAATTTAGATTTGATGATCTTGAATCATGGAAATTCACAACTCATCTGTACATTGAAAGCCCATACGTCAACTTTGGGAAGCATGCCAAAAAAGAGATCTTAAAAGCTTTTGGTCGAAGAAATATTTCGAGGATCACTTTGTGATTCAAGGAAACGACTACGTTCGAGTGTTCCATGTTCTAATGAAGAAGCATGAAAATTGCCAAGTCCAAAAAGTTTTATAAAAGTTTATAAAATAAAAGACATCTTGGAAAGGAATTTTGAATTTCCAATCCAAAACAATATTTTAAATATTAAAGGACAAACCACTTCATGTAAAATAAATAATACTACTTTAAAAATGATTTTACAAAATCTAAGGATTATTATATTAAGAAAACTAATTTGACCTTGCTTTTTAGAAAACTCTTACTTTTGAGAAAATGTAAAGCTGGCCTGGGAGGCCTGGGCTTTTGTACTTTTCAAATGCATGTACTTTATAGAAGTTCAAGAATTTTTTTAAGTACGGACATCTGGACTGTGTCATATTGCTTGATAATTTTGAAACCTTGGCTATAAAAAGGTATTTGAATCTCATTTTAAAGCTTGAACACCTACCACTCCGTGGCACATTTACCATAAACATTTGAGAGTGATATGGGAGAAAAGCCATTGTTTTTATAGAACATATTCTGGCAATTCACAAACATGTTCGTGTATGATGATGATGATGATGATGATAACTTGAGAATCTTGTAAATCTCGGTAACTGATCTAGTTTTGTAAGGCAACATGCTAGAATGTTTGTATCCGAATACCAACTTGAGTGAAGAGTGAGAGAGTACCCTATATTGTATGGTTGGTGTTCACGTTTGTGTTGTTAAGCATCACAATTGTTCTAGTGAATCGCCTCTCAAGATGGATCTCGGGGAAAGTGGGCTAGGACAAGTTGTCCAAACCACTCTAAAACACTTGTGTCATATCTTCCACTCGATTTTTTTTAGTTTCTTCACTTGTGGTTGAGCATTATGCTTTATCAGTTACATTAATGAAAATTATGAAATGTAAAAGCCCAAGAATCATAAAAGACAGCAACCACCTATTCACCCCCTAGGTTGTTTTGCATTCTTAAATGGAGCCCCTAGAGTCTTTCAAAGTCTTTCCAGAGATGATGGGTGTTTCTAAACATAATCGAATTTGCCTCTGAATTTTCTATCAGAAACTAGTCAATAGTCCTAGAAACAAGAAAACTTCCTTCAGATTTTGTTTAATACAAAAATTCTCATGAATCAAATACAGCACCACAGGTTAGCAATGTTTAACAAGATCCTTAAGATGTGCTCAAATTTGAGCTGCATGTATGAGTAAAAGGCGTATGTGAAAGCTGAAAAACTAGGAAATTTTGCATCAGAGTATACCTTCAAAGGAAGCAAGAGAACGTAGCAAAAGAGTATAATATGGTGGCATGCGGAAATGATACTTTAGGGCTATCGCCCACACTTTACCCAGCACCTGCAGAACACATTGAAGATGTCAGCCAAGTCAATAGACCCAAAAGGCAGTCATGCAAGATGGATTTTTTATGCTGTGAACCTCACAGCTGCTTAGAATTTTAAAATCTGCAGGATCACAATTATAATTCATTACATATTACCACTCTCCAAAAAAGAAGTAATAGACAAGTATTGATCTCCTTTACGACAACTGCTCTAATAGAAACTCAAAACACATTTATAAGTAGGTTCACAACATATAGATGCACTTGACGATAGCACAAGGCATTGATGGTTATTACAGAATAATATGTGGCTTGAATCTTTGTTGCTGTCATACAAGATGGATGGTTGATATGTACTGGAAACTGTAAGCAAGTGATCATGTAACTCAAACATGACTAATGTCCAGTATAATTAGCAAGTAAATGCTCATAACAATCTAATACAAAGCATAGGCTCAAATACTTGGTCCAAAGCAGTTCAAAATGCCAAACTGCAACATGAAAGGACTGATTCAGAATCAGTTAATTGAAGATCTTGTGAGTTATTATGCATATATTAAGATTGTTGAGTTGCCATGGAATTCAATTTGATTTTGTCATAGACACTTATGTGGAGAAGTGAGAAGTGATACCTGCTCATGGCCGAAAAAAGTTTCAATCAGTTAGCTGACGGTCAGCTAATGGTTTTTTATTGCCTTTTAATGTCAATTGATTTCTAGAACAAGAGGAGTTATTTCCATTAGGGGTTTTCTATTTATGGCTTTCCTATTCCATATAAATGTGTCTCTTTCAAGAAGAGAAGGATTAAATAAAATAATTAAATTTGTATTTTCCTTAAACTGTAGAGATTAGGAGCTCTCTTGTAATGAGCACCAGAGGTTGCAGCTCCTTACACGAGTTGCATCTTCAAGAACCGCAACAAGGGCAAAGACATAACTGGAAGTGCCTTCCCTGTCAATCAACCAGTGACTCAATCTCAAATTCACAACCCTCACAGAGTTGTTCCACGCTTGCGTCGCAAGAAGTCAGCTTTTGGGCTACTGTAATTGGGAACTATAAATCAGTTATCAGGTCTAAAAATCACGATAACATTACTCAAGGATAAGGGCATGTTTATATATGTTTATATATATACACACACACACACACACACACTCACATACACACACACAAGATTCTAAAATTAAACCAACGAAAAAAGAATTATCTTATAATTCATCCACTATATATATATATATAATATTATGAAATGCTCAAGCTTAGGCCTTACTTGGCTTCTACTTCCACTTGGTGATGTGAATGAGTCCACAGCGTAACAAGCACTTGGAATATTTCTAACTTTAGGTCACTATCTTTCCTTATCTGTTTTGCTTTAGGATTTTGTTTTTGTTTTTTTTTGTAGGAGTCTCTTATTAGTTCAAATACCCTGTTGTCTACCTTTTTTGATATGGAATGTCCATATATTCTTCTCTGCAATTCCAATCTTCGATTCTTCTAATTCTCTCGGTTAATTTCGAGAACCATTCTCCCCTTGATTTTCTAGATTGGTAGAGTTTGGCTAAACGTTGGAATTTCTCCAACCTTAGCTGAGTTTGGATCAGGTTGTATTATTGGTATAACAGCGCACTCGGTCCTTGGTGTTTCATCATTACGATTGCTCGGAGCATGGCAAAGAACCAGAGTGAAGTGACAAAGCCTCCCAATTCAGAATCGTCGATCAATAACCACAACTGTTCCAACCCCCCCCCCCCCCCCCCCCCGACGAACAACTCTGAATTAGAGGTAATGCTCAAAACTGTTTTTTCAGACTTTGGTGCTAGGATTGAGTGTCATAATCATCAACAAGATATGAGGATCTCCCAAAATGCTAGAGCTATATCTGAAATCGGTGAATTAATGTTTGGGTTATCACTTCAATCGAATCAACTAATGGCAGATAAGATTAAGAAAGGAAACACTGATCCGAATATGCCTCTTGAAGGAGGGCTAAATAATTCCCAAACAAGCAAATAAAAAAGTTACACAAGGAAAATAACGATCTTAATAGAAATAGTATTCCAATTCCAAGTGCTTGTTACACTGTGGACTCCTATTCGCATCATTTAGTATGTCTGCATTAGCACAAACTTTGGAAAAATAATCCGTTGTGTTGTCTTGTCTCTTCCCCTAAAAAATAAGACATAAGTTTTACTTTAGATTTTTTGTTTGATCTCTCCTTTTTTTTGCTCTAGCGGTGGTAAAGCGGTCCACGAAAGAGTGAAAGGTGCATTTTAGAGTTTAGTTTTTGGTTTTTCATTTTAGCCTTTAACTAGCTTCTAGAAGGTGTTCGTTGAACTTTATATTAATTTATGTTGGGGTAGATGAACAATAGGGTGGTTTTCTGAAATCACAATTGCTTGGATTCTTGCTAGGATCATGTATATCACTTCCCGAATTATATATTTCAACCCTATAGCCTTGAGTTGCACGAAATTCTGAATATGGGATAATCCAAGAAGGAACAATCTAATTTCTTAGGCACAAACAAGAGATCACGTTATTGTAGGTTCTGAATATTCGAATTCTTAGATTCGAACCACAAAATGAATTTAAATGAGTATTTATACTCAGAGTCATCCATAAATGGATAAGGATAAGACCAAAGGGCAGTTAACGGAGGTTTTGGATCTGTAACAGTTTTTCCATAACACTTCTTCCATAGAAACTAAATTTTGGTATGGGGCGCTGCCCCGAGCCCAGCGAGGGCGGCCCCCCTTGACCTCGCCCGCTCAGCAGGCAGCAGGATACCCGCCATGGGCGCGGCCCCCTTGACCCCCGCCTTTTGGTCGTACCGGGATCAATCTAGTCTTATACAAGTGTGCGGTTCGCACCTCCTAACTTGCATAGAAAACTAAGTAAAGATCCCCTTTAGCTCTCATATATTTACCCATTACACCAAATGAAACCGGTGACACTAAAATCACCAACAATTTATATTTTGGTTTAGCCTATACATTTTTTATTAATAAACCACCCAAACATTTTTTATCAACCAATAGATATATTAAATACTATTAAATATCGCATTACATAATAAATAAATTAAATATTGCATGTATACAATATTATATTTTCAAATACATAAAACCTCTATGTCTTGTCCACTATACCACCACTTTACCATTGCAATAACCGCTATAGCAAATTACGGTCCAATAGTAAATCATGGTCAAGACCGCTATTTTAGATATTGATCAATGTAACATCTTAGGAAGAAGCTACAAGGGGACACAACTAATGTAAGAAAACTATACAACCACTAGTCTACCTTAAGACTCTTATAACATGTTTGTTGGCTCATTAATCCTACCCCCACCCTCTACCTCTCCAATTTCCTTCCTCCCTTCTATGCTAGGTACATGTCCCCGACCTAATCTACTACCCTAGTCTTGCGTCTCCAAGCACTCTTTTTAGAGGTCATATCCTCATAAATGCCTAAAGCCACCATGTCCAACCTAAGTTGCTCATCCCTCGTCCTCCTCGGCCTACCCCTCCACCTCCATGACCATCATGCTTTCTACCCTCCTCACTGAGCCGCCATCTATCTCCTGCAATCGTGTTCAACCGCTGAAGCTTCCCTATTTCAACATATCAGTGATAAACACAGCTCCCAACTTCACCCTAAAGACCTTGTTCAGTATCCTGTCAAACATGGTTCGACCATAACTCCATCTAAGCATCTTCATTTCTGCAAATTCTAAATTCCTCTCATGACCCTTCCTTGTCCCCTAACAATCCGACCCATACAACATGACCCTATAAAGTTTCCCTTCACATAGCACTGCCGTGGTAGCCATTCAATTTATCCAACCAGTCTTTATGTGATGTGTTATATCATCCTCGACCTCTTTCCACCTTCTGAAAATCGTGGAGTCTAGATACCTGTAACAATTCTTTTGGGGTACCCTTTCCCTCCAATGTTGACTTCCATACCCTTGTTGATACATTCAACACTAAAATTGCACCGCGGATATTTGAGCATAAAGAGACTAATGCTTAGGCGTTGTGTTTGCAACTCCACTACTCCAAGCCTCCAACCTCTCGTTCACCTCCACCTTGGACTTTGTTGCTAGCAATATGTCGCCCTATGTTGGGAATCCAGACTCTGAAGCCCATGAGCCCAATCTCTCAGTTGGGTAAGAAGCCCATAATATGGAAAGTGTASACGAGGAGAGAGAAGAAGAAGGAGGGTCGTTAGAGAGAAAGATAAAAGTAGTGGAGGGAAGGAAATAATGCTCATTCTGTTATTTTGTTGTCTATTCTGTTAGGAGAGAATTCTTTGGAGAAGAGTCCCAGACTCTGGTTAATTTTCCTTGTTCTTGTAGAGCTTCGGCTCATTTTCCTCTTTTAATCATTCAGATGTTCTCTCAATTTTTTCTGTTTCTATAAATTGGTCCGACCTGCCGGATTTTCGAGGGGAACGAGTGTATCTGAAGATGCCACCAAAGCCAACCAATGTGGGTGATCGAGTGGAGGCGTTGGAGGAAGTAGTAGGGATGATGGAAGAAAACATTCAGCGCTCGTTGGCTGAATTCAGGGAGACGATGTTAGCAGATTTAGTCAAGCTGCTGGAACGACCGCCACAAGCGACACCGCCAGTTGTTAACAATGTGGATTATCGATTGACGGAATTCCGTATGGCTGTGAAGAAGGTGGAATTGCCTATGTTCGATGGGGAAGATCCAGTGGGGTGGATTACTAGAGCAGAGATCTATTTTGATGTGCAAAATACTCCTGAAAATATTAAGGTGAAGTTGGCAAAACTGAGTATGGACGGGGCAACAATTCACTGGTTTAACCTGTTGAGTGCAACTGAAGAGAATCTCACATGGAAGGGATTCAAACAGGCTTTGATTGAACGGTACGGGGGAAGACAAAGTGATAATCCCTTTGAGGAATTGAAAGACCTCACGCAAACGGGATCGGTAGACGAATTCATCACTGAGTTCGAGTATATATCGTCTCAGGTAAGTCG